AGGAGGGGGAGACGGTGTTTGTGCAGCATCACAGCCACAGACGGGTGAACAACATGGATTATGTGCTTCTGATGAAATGTTTCTCATGATTTACTTGATGCAATAAGAGATTTTTTGTTTGGGAGCAACAGAAACTCAGAAACACACAAACATCTGACATCAGGATCAAATTGAGAAATTTCCTGTGAATACAGAATGTAAATGATTAAACTCAGAGGCCAGAACTCACAGAACAGCTGCTCTGACTCTGAGATCTCCTTGAGTGTGTTGATCTCTAAGTAAATAATTTCTGATGAAGACACGCCCAACGTTTCATATCTAATAAAAACAGATTCTCTCACACACCACACGTCATCACTTATTCAGAGCTCGGTGTCAGATGACATGTCCACAACATAAACACCTGAGCGGCGATGACCAGCTCGGGCGCTGAGCTTTAAAACGAGGAGCGTCTCACAGATGGCCGGTTTTCCTCTTTTCGTGGATTTGTTTGCACAAAACAACACCACCCACCGTAACGCCTGCACAAAGGCACCATTCAAGTTTTCAGACGCTGTAAATGCAGAAAAATATTGTTTCTGATATGCAGTAACTGCATTGATTGACCTTCATTTACTCAACACCAAGCAGCAGAGAAACAGCTGCTCAGAGTACTCTTTACATGTCTGTGGCCAGTCTGCAGTATTCATACTGCTTTTTGTATCTCAGCCGCTGTTTTGCATCTTTTTGCATTTTGTGGCTCTTTGTATTTAAAGCGACTCTGCTAATGCAAAGAGGTGGAATGGACTAAAAGTCAGCTTCTGTTTTCAGTAATGATCTTTCATATTTATCTAAACGTCAAGTTTGTGATAATCTGAAGAGTAACAGTGAGTTTAGCGTGACCTGGATCGCCGTCAGACTGGAGGCCGTTCTAGAACGTTCTTTAAAGTGCAGATCGTTACAGTAACAGTCAGAGGAAGTCTGAACCTGAGTCTCCTCCTCCTCTTCCTTAGCTGATGATGAAGACTCTCGGTCCCTCCTCTCTCATTGGGGGAAGGCTCTCGATCACCATGTTGTCCATCAGCCCGTACTTGTCTTCTTTTTTACTCCTTCCTCCTCCTCCATTGGTTACAACCTGCTGGTTAAGCTCCTCCCTCTCCACTGGCTGCGAGAGCTGAATGGTCAGCTCCTTCATCGTCATCTGCATCAAAAGACAAAGTATTTGAGTGACCTCAACCCTTTGAGGCTGAAACATGTAAAAGTGTTACTGCATCTAAACGCTAACATCAGCCTCGCTAACGTGTTTACCAACAGAAAATCTCTGAATACTCAGGAACCCCAACTTCCTGTTTCATAGGCGTGATCATGTAGCTGCCCAGAATGAGCCTTGCTGAGCTGCTGGCTAAAAGAAAGGTCTGAAAAAGATCTGGAGAACCTCACTAATTAGTGGCAAACTGGCTAGAACTGTTTCTGGGATGTTGATGGTCTTCTTGGAGCCACCGGGTGTGATGGTCTCCATCTCTGAGGAGACTTTAACACTGATGTGGGTGACGATGGAGCGCCCTGCTCAAGCTAAACCAGAACTGGTTGTGTTTATTGGCTTCTGTGTCATCACAGATTAGCTGCTTGACAATAAGGTGGCTGTAAGGGAAGCAGGTATCAGCTTAGGTCAAAGGTCAGTGGTGGACTTGATCTGCAGCTGTATGTCTTGTAGTCGTAGCATCGAAACATTTGCTACAGAACGCTAATGATGTAAGACTCAGACTGAGGGGGCTGTGTTAGTTTTTGGGCGATCGTGGCTCAAGAGTTGGGAGTTCGTCTTGTAATCGGAAGGTT